GAAAAGAAAGTCAAGCAGAGGAACAGGAGGCATGATAAAACAAATTAATATCTAAGACCCCAGATCATTTCATGTATCCGAACAACATGCATATCTTTCATTTTGAGATGTTACACCATAGACTGAACAGAAACATGTAGAATGGGATTCAGGGAACCATGCGAACAGGACGTGGTGCTGTTTCGGGTTGAAGGAATGAACATGCACAGACTGTTTTAAATCATTCAACACACTACATCAGTATACCTACAAGAAAATGGACTTCGCTATTCTTAAGAGGCTCTGCTGACTGAACAGTTTTGAATGGTGTGAACAGAATTGTGGTCTACAGCCTTTTTAGTGTTTTGTGTTGAAGGTTGTAACTATAAAGTATACCCCAAAAACGTACCTGTTAGGGCCAGAACACCTGGGCCCGGTGTAGAGCTTTAGATTCCTTTAAGGGAATAGATTATTTTAAGGGAATACGACCAAGAGCCTAGAATCATACTAAGTCTTGGCCTGTCACACAGGGGCTACCGCATGCTTTGTATATGCTGAAGGCACTGTCTCAACAGACCCCTAGTAGCAACACCCTGTTAAATGTGGGTATCCGGAGGCTACAAGGTGGAGTGGTGCCCAAGGTGGAACCGGGGCTTAACCAGCTCAAGAAAGGGCACAAAGCTGCCGCGCGAAGCCCTCACCATACAGGATTTTAGAAAGAACGCAAGGTACTGGCGTGCAAACTTACCACAGTGTGGATTTTAGAAAGTGTACAAAGACTTCACGTTCACACTTACCATAACATGGATTTAAAAATACCATAAGGGGCCCTCGTGGCACTCTGATTGAGCAGCCCATAGATGGAAATGGTGTATCACAAAACACTGTTTGAGAAGTCATCAACTCGATTTAAGGTATAATGCTGGAGTGGCTAGCAGTAAATCTCTAGCTGAGGGAGCAAACACCCAGCTCTCAATCGAGAGGGGGGCTCGACCTACAGCATGTTCCAATGCTGGAACAGCTAGCAGT